GAAGGAAGCAAAACCAAAAAACTTGCAAAAAAGCCCGTAGGGCCAGAAATTTTAGTTCTGTGTGTAGATGATCAATCCTTGTTTTCTTTGCTGTTGTTGTTTGTTGGTGCATTTTCGCCTTTGCCGGCCTGTCCTACAACAAATTAACAACTTAACCAAAAACGCTCCCTGCGAAAACATTCTCCACCTCATCCCCATCGCAGAGCATGGAACACCCTGGGGACACCAAGGGTCTGCCTCCAGCAGGTGCACTGTAGGCAGCTGCTCCCAGAGGGCCCGGTGCTGATGACAAAGAGGCCAGGGCATCCAAAGCCTGAGCGAGAGGCAGGAGGAAGCCAGCCACGCGGTTCTCCAGGAAAGGGACCAGGCGTTTGCACAGAGCAGCAGGCTCCCCCTCTGCTTCCCCTCCGCAATGCCCTCTGCCTCCGGGTCTGTCACCTTACAGCAGCTTTTCTAGAGTGAGTCCTGCCCTAGATCTCCTTATCGGTCTCCTTGTCCAAGCTGGCCGCTCACCTCACATGAACTTGAGTATCCGTCAATCTCCGCAGCCCTGGGGTGCAGTCTCAACTGAAGACAGCTGTCCCATGCTTCAAAACCTTTTGCAACCTACTGTTCACCTGCTCAGGGTGGTGTTTCTGGTTTTGAAGAAAACATCCCAAGGAGGAAGAAAAAACTACCAGGTCTTCGAACACTGCAAATCCAATTCATAAATGATAAGCAGTCACTTAAAATCACGGTGCCAAAACCTATTTGAGGGGCGCCTGGGCGGCTCAGTCGGTTAAGCATCCGTCTTCGGCTCAGGTCATGATCTCACGGTTCGTGAGTTCAGGCCGTGAACCCGGCTCTGTGCTGACAGCTCAGAGCCTGGAGCCTGCTTCGAATTCTGTCTCCCTCTTTCTCTGCCCCTCCGCACCCTTACACTCTGTCTCTCTCTCACAAAAATAAACATTAAGAAAAATGTTTAAGAACCCCAAAATCTATTTGAGTATGATGTTTGTGGTATATTCTTGCTAAGTGAAAAAAAAAAGTTATAACCCTGCCAACAGAGTGATCCTAATTTTGGGGTGCCTGGGTGGCTTAGTCAGTTAAGTGTCCAACTCTTGATTTCTGCTCAGGTCACAATCTTGAGGTTCATGGGTGAGCCCTGAGTCGGGCTCTGTGCTGATGGTGTGGATCCTGCTTGGGATTCCCTCTCTCTCCCTCTCTCTCTCTCTGCCCCTACCCCACTTGTGCATGCTCTCTCTCCCAAGATGAATA